TATACTTCTAGCGGTTAATGTAGGCTCCGTAATAAAAGGGTATTATACGAACTCCAGGAGAATATACGCCGTGTATATTATTATCTAAGTAGCGCTTTATGTAGACTCCGACCAACACGTCGGATCAAGTGGACTCTGTAATAGGATAAAACATTTTTGGGGCCCGTATATAACTTTTCGCGTACACTTCTAAACTCCTGCGATGTTGCCAATATTAGTATTAGTAGTAGATTTTAAAATTTTATAGCCGGTACATTTTGGAGCTTATTATTTTCAATTACTTTATTAATTACAATTATTTTCAAACTTAAAAAAGTAACTATAATAAACTTGAAAAAGGTTAGTTTCCATTTAATATATTATTTTTTTTTTAAATGCATGGGCACTTAAACATTTAGTCTCTAAATGTACGAATATCGAGTAGAGTTATCTTGTAATAGTTGAAGAAAGTAGAAGCCTTTCGGTAGGATTACAATAAACTACATAAGATTAAAGAGACCTCTGAAAACAGATCTTTATAGTTTTTCAATTACTGTAGTTTATGACGTGCAATATTTGTTTCATAGAGTAGTTAAATTTATACAATAATAATTTATGTGAAGTGTTTAAAGAAGTAATCACCAACCTTTATTAGAATACGGCACAATAAGAAGATGAAGCTTACTATATATTGTTTACTTATTATATTCATAAAAAGAATATCTAAAGTAAAATTTAACACATTTCAATGGACTGGAAGTGAAATTTTACTTCTTATTACGATACCGGATCCTGGACATTGCACGGTAGTGTGTCATACGGTTTCATCTTTCATATAAACATCGATTGTTTTTAGTTTTAGATGTATTAGTAACATATCTACCTTAAACAGTTTTATTTTACATACATTTAGCACATTGGCTCTGACAATGACCTTTAAATATACATTGTTAAAAATTGAATACATTAATCAATTTAAAACGTTCTTTGTTGTCTTCTGTTTCTTTATCTGCATTTTGTTTATTTATATCGTTTCCACTCATAACAAATATTGAGTAGTTTATTGTTTCAGTAAACTTTCTCCTTATATGTCGGTGTTATATAAGTTGTCTAGTTTTTATAGCGTATATAATGTCGTACGTAAACGCCATTTTATTTAACAATAAAACACTGAAAACTTTATTTTTAAAACTTCGACAAAATTAATTCTATCTTATCACTACAGCTGTTTCGGCAGAGTGCTCTTTTCAAGCCTCAAGTATCTCGAATCCATCAATCAGCCATTGCATTTCTTATACTTTTATTTTAATTCTCTCCAGTCAAAGATTTGAAGCAGCTTTGCTCCATTAGTCCATTTTTGTTGATTTTTGTCACTGTTTCTCCTTTCTCTTTATCATCATCATTACGTAGCGCTACAACACTGGGTGGGTCTTCGCTAACTACTATTTTTCTCCAAGTTGACCGATCTTCGGCTGTTTCGGCAGAGTGCTCTTTTCAAGCCTCAAGTATCTCGAATCCATCAATCAGCCATTGCATTTCTTATACTTTTATTTTAATTCTCTCCAGTCAAAGATTTTGAAGCAGCTTTGCTCCATTAGTCCATTTTGTTGATTTTTGTCACTGTTTCTCCTTTCTCTTTATCATCATCATTACGTAGCGCTACAACACTGGGTGGGTCTTCGCTAACTACTATTTTTCTCCAAGTTGACCGATCTTCCCACGGATCTGCAATCAAATGAAATGTTTATTTTTTAAAATTTGATTGTATGTTGTCTCTCCATTGTATATTGAGATGTTTAAGTGGCATTCTTCTGTGCTAACTTCCTTCCATACAGTTTTACAAGTTTGACATCTTGGCGTCTATGCATGTGTCCGATCTACCTTAAGCGATTTTTTTCCTGGACAATATCGTTATAAGAGCTTTCTTAATTTAGTATGTGTTCTAATTCGATACGGATTTGTAGTGATATGATAATGAGGTTAAAAATTGTCGTATTATTTTTTATTTATTTTGCTTCAACCACTTAGGGTTATTAGCATAAGAAAAATACAAAAAGTGATAAAGACTTAAGGCATAAACCAAATATCAATTACATAATAATGTATACAATATATATTTAAATTATTAATGTATTGTATTAAATTTTATTAAAAAAGTTATTGATTTCAAGAATTCTATCAAGTCAGCTACATATTTAGATTCTCCTAGAAGTTCTTGTAATGTTTTTGGAATGTGGTAATATAATCTTTCAACTAAGTAGATTGGACAGTCAATCAAAATGTTCTTCACTGTCACTTTACATTCACAGACAAAAATCTGA